CCAATTTTTAAGATTTTTCAATTGTTTATAGATTTGCTCAATTTATATTATTTTTGAAGTTTTGAATTTTATAATAAATAAAGAAAATAAAGTTTCAAGTCATCACAAAGATTTTCAATATTGAAAAACATTCCCACACTATTTAAATGTGCACCTTACTTTGATTATTTGAGGCCTCGGCCTGGTATAAATCACATCCCTTTTAGAATATGAGACTTTAGCAGTGAAGAATAAATAGATGATTATTTTGAAAAGAGAAAATTTGAATTTGAAGTTTTTTAGATAGTCTTTATTCAATTTTGAGACAATATAGACGATATTTCTTCAAGTGTATGGAGAGAGCCATTTAGAAATTTTCATTTTTACGGTTAGTCGATAGGTTATAAAGGTTATATCCCAAAATTTTGATATTTCGTATATTATTATGGATATAATAAGTTTAAATGAACTGCCAAAAGTAATATCAATAAAATGATCAAAACAAAAAGGCTGCAGTCCTATCAAAATAATTTGTTTTAAAAAATAATGTTGTTTTAATAAGTGTTTTTTTAGGAAAAAAAAAAAACTTTAAAAGTTAAGCAAAACCTCAATTATTTTGTGAGAAATGCCCCTACTATGGGTCTAAAATCCAGAATAAATAAGGGAATTTTTATACATGCCTATGCCGGATTCTAAACCCAAACTAAGAGATTTAACTAATGATTAAAAGATTGTTTGGCAGCTTGGGATCGTGAGCCATGTTGTTCTCGAAAAATGCCGGGAATTGCCCCAGTTTGATATTTTCTTTATTTATTGAAAATTCCCCAATTTGATTTGGAAAAGCTTGATTTAGATCGGACGACTCTAGATTGTGTTCTGAGTTCTAACAAGCCCTTAAATTAGCCTACCCTTTTAATCACTAAAAAAACTTATGTTTTGGATTTAAAACTTCCAAAAGGCAACAATAGTTTTATCATTTGGATCGACTTAAGTTACCTGAGCCAAATGATAAAAAAATATTGACTTCAGATATTTTATAAGCACAAAAAGATTTTAAAATTTGTTTTTTATTTGAAAATTAAAAGAAAAGAGTATATACAATGAGACCATTTACCTTTTATACTTAGACCGTCAAATTTCAAGATTTTCAAGTTTTCATAGATATGTTCGATCTACACTATTTTTGAAGCTTTCAATATTAGAGTTAAAGATGAACTAAATGTCCAATAATGAAACCACGTTTCTTGACACTATTTAAAGGTATGCTTTATTTTGATTGTTTAAAGCCTCAGTTCTATACAAACCACGTCCGTTACATAATGCCTTGGCTTGTTCTAAGTTAAAAATCCAAAACAACAGTGAAGATTTTGAAAACAACCGTTACATAATGCCTTCGCTTGTTCTAAGTTAAAAATCCAAAACAACTGTGAAGATTTTGAAAACAACCGTTACATAATGCCTTCGCTTGTTCTAAATTAAAAATCCAAAACAACAGTGAATCTTTTGAAAACAATCATTGACGTACTTAAGTGAAAGGGTCTTCATATTGTCACAACAATGTTGGGAAATCTGTTTATTGAACCACTTTATTGACAACTTTAGATGGTTTCGATAGTTTTTACATTAAAAATAATAGTTAACAGGTACTTATTTGATAGCCAAATATCGTCTCTAATCTTCTCATAGATATAGAAAAATTCCATGTCCAACCCTCTTCCATAGAGGCTAGTAATTAAACCTTTTGTATTTAGTTGTCGAGTCTTTTTTAATTTATTTATGGATGAAGTTTCTATAAGACCTAGGCTTTATGAAAACAAAATAATCACTTTAAATCCTTCTCTTGAAAAGTGCTTTTAGCGACTAAAATATCTATGATGGCTTTAAAATCAATTTTAAAATCAATTTTCAATACCGATAATAAAATTTGAAACTAAAAAATAATATGGATATGTCAACCCTTATTTTTAAAACAATTTTCAATGAGTTATGAGGTGAGGATTTACTTATTTTGCTAGGGCTGCAGCCCCATCAAACTATTTTCTTTTATTTTTATTTTGTTGTAGTAGTCAAAAATTTCATTTTTGATCAATTATATTCGCGGATTTTTCGAATGGGAAAATTCGTCTTGGAGTCCTACGTGGCAATGAGTAGCCAATAGCATTACAAAACCACGTGGTTTGAGTTCTTGAAAGTTAATGTTTTGGGAGTCACTAAAGTGTCCTAAAAACCTGGCTCGGTCACTGACTGACCAGATTCATATTGTTGATCCCACCTAATTGGAAATCCAGAAATCAATCTCGAAAAAATTTAAATATACTTTTAAATAAAAATAAAAATAAAAAATAAAATAAGTAGAACCTTGACAATTAAGCCAATCCATATTGCTCGGCCTCTGACATACTAGTCAAGTTTGCTAACGGAATCTGGTGAGTACATATAAAACAAACTAATCGCCGGTTTGTTTAAGGAATTGGGTCAGTCCCTATAGAATCCAGACCCAACGATTGCTGCTCCAAATTACACTTTTCTAGAATGTGTTAACGTTAAACAATCACATTAAAACGCACCTCAAAATTTCATTAAAAGATGTATCTTTCCTAAACTCTATCATGGCCTAAAAGTTGATTTTTCACCCCTATAATGAAATTGAAAGCTCCAAAAATGATACAAATCTAACGTATCTATGAACACTCAAAAATCTTGAAAACAAACAATCTAAATAATGTGTTACAAGATGCACTATTTTTAAGACTTGAAATTCATTTTTTCTTTTATATCCACATATATTGAGGTCCAAAATGATCAATTGGACAATTTTCCAGTGACAAACCGCCTTTTTCTGTAGGCTTTTGAGGTACACCTTAGTTCACTTCTGTAGTATAAGGTTGATACCTTGTATATACTTTTTCCTATAATGAGAGTGAACATCGCCCTCTTTTTTTCCTTTTTTTGGTAAATTAGCTAGGGGTTTTAACGAGGTCAACTATGTTGATATAAGGGAAAATATACGTACATGGTAATTACATTGGTCAATACACTCCCTTTCTCTCAAACTATAAAATTATTTTGTGAAAGTTGTGAATCACATCTCTCAAATCATAAGGATTTTGTTTTTTTAGAAACAAAGTATGCATTTATACCATTTATAAATTGTAATTTAAGTGACCAAGAAAATGAAGCCAAAGATTTCATCCCACTTTAAGGCCAATTTGAGCATCTATTTTTTTTTTCTTAAAATAGTGATGTTATCAGTTTCAACCATTTAAGAGTCTTAGATAACGAAATAAACTTTTTTTTTTCTCTTTGATAAATAAATAAAACCATTTAAGATTCTTAGATAAAACCATGTAAGATTCTTAGATAATAAAATTCTTAGATAAATATATAAAACCATTTAAGATTCTTAGATAAATAAATAGCATAGAGGCAAATTTTTTCTGTAACCTCCTTGTTACCAAAGATGCAGTCAGACTAGAACAAAAAATAAAAAAATAAAACTTTTCTTTTTCTCTATGCTATTTGTTCCATTTTTATGATATCATGGTTGGTGGCATCACGAATATAACCGCTGACAGCAAACCAAATGTTCAGATGAAGGGTCTAATTAAGATTTGGAAACAGTTTAGAGTAAACATTTCGAGAAGAGTCGAGATGGAGCACTTACTACAATTTCTAAACTGTTTTTTGCTTTGCAGGATCGGACATCACAAGGAAGGTTATGCAAAATTTTAAATCCTCAATCAATATCCAAGAGCTATTACTGCTGAAAATTATAATGTTTCAGGTGATGTTGTAGTTACCTGAACTGAATCCTGCTATTACCATATTATCCTTTTCCCTAAACAATAAAAATTCTTCCATATGAACCATTACTGCTGAAAAATAAAATTTTTCATATTTGCCAACTTGGGGCTCCATCGTTTAACGTTTATCTCAGATGCATGCAACCAATTCTGCATTTAGGAATGCATACAGGTCTCACTTCTGAATTTTACACTTAATATCCTTTATAATGTGTAGTTTTTTAAAAAAGGGGAAAGTTTACATAGAGCCGAGGCTCTAAACAATCAAATTTGAGCCTACCTAAAAACTTTCACTAAAAGTGGTTGTTTTGATGCCCAAATATCCTCAAATTGATCATCTCGATATCAAGATACATGGATATCAAAAAAACAAAAAAATAGATTTTAAGTTTTGAAAATAGTGTATTATTTTGTAATGCATTTTTGGACCGTCAATTTTCAAAATTTCAAGTTTTCATAGATTTGTCGATCTACACTATTTTTGAATCTTTAAACTTTATAAATCAAGATGAAAATATATTTTAAGGCTATCACAAAGATTTCCAATATTGAAACCACATTTCTTGATACTATTTGAAGGTAGGCTCTAATTTGAAAAAAAATGTATCTTGTATCTTGTATTTCACATTTTACAAGATACTATTTGAAGGTAGGCTCTATATAAACCACACCTTCTAAAAAATGTATCTTGTATCTCACATTTTACATTTTTGTCCTCTTTTTTTGTTTTTTGAGGCTAACCTTAAATGTAGAAGTACAAATTGGAAAGGTTGTTTCAATGTTGAAAAACCCTCTATTTGATCAGCTCGACATCGAGATGTATGAATATAAAAAAAAAAAAGTTTTTGAGTCTCCAAAATAGTACATATTACAACACATTATCTAGGCCGTCCATTTTCAAGATTTTCATATGTTTATAGATCTCCTTGATTTTACCTATTTTTGGAGCTTAAATTTTTCTAATTAGATATGAAAATAGATTTTAAGATAATCCTATAAGTGAGAATAGTTGTGACCTCCTTGTAATAAAGATAAATGGACTCTTTGTAGACAATCTCCCTCTAAAATCCTATAGGTTACATTTAGAAGGGTGTGAATTGTTAAAATTACTAAAGTTGTCTCTTTATAGAATAACATACTCATACTGGAGGATTAGTAACATAACACATCTTTTTCACATAGGAACTCTAAAAGGAAAAAAGAAAAAGAAAAAATTACTACTAGGAGAATGAAGAAATCAAATAAGCATTAGAGTGAAATACCATATTGTGTTGTTTACACAGAATGAGCATCGCACCAACTATGTACAGTGACTGAAGGCTCTCAAACCTTAACAGTAATCTCAGTTCTGGTGATAGCAGTGTTATTCCATAAGCACAGTTTGCGAAGCATCATCTGTCGTTCTCTTCTTCACATGCTGCAACATAAAATGTGGTGTCATTCTCCTGTTCCCAAATGGATGGCTTTATTGGGGGTAAGTTTTCTCATATTTTCCTTCTTTTGGGATGGCTATTAGGATTAGGATTACAGGTAATGGGTAAAACAGTTGCAAATAAAATCATAACAAACTAAACGAAAAATTACAATTTTCAGCCTGTGATAAAAGGCAAAAAATCAGAAAGCCTTCAAGGTAACATTCATCATCGTCAAAGCCTTTTCCAAACTAATTGGGGTCGGCTACCTTCAGGATAACATCCAGAGAAGAAATATGTAAAAGTGCAACACATAAATTTGAAACCCAGAAAACAAAGGAGCTGCATGTGTAAGATAGAGGGCCATAAACCAGAGAGGATCAAACGCATGGAAAAAGGGAAAATAGAAAACCAGCAGGAAAGCAAGAAAGCAACAAGCAGCGACGTCTGCGTCCCTCAAAAATTAAAGGTACATTATAAATAAGCCAAAAGGTTTCCAAATTTCGAATTAGATTAGCCCTAAGCCTTATGGCAGATTATGTTGAATCAATTTTCATGAATAAGAATTGAAGAAGGTGAAAGACCTTTTTCTCTTAAAAATTTCTTTCTCAACAGAATGTGAGATGATGAATGACCATGTAAAAGAGTGGTTTAGTGGCAATGTAGAGATTAACACATTGCATTGAAAAATTTCCTCAACAAATAACAATAAAAAATAAAAAGATACATATTTCAACAGACACTAATGGCGAACCAGGATTCATGTAGTTGACCCCAAATAGTTGAGAAAAGGCTCCGATGATGATGGTAATGATGATTTCAACAGACACTAAGATCAACTCTCCCTATTGCCAACTGACTAAGAAACCATGTCCCTCTAACAAAACTTCTGAATTAGTTTCATATGTTAGAAAACCTCAGAGAAATAACCCCACTGTTATTGGTCAAAAGTCCAATTAATGGATGCCACTGAAGTCATTTAAAAACTCGAGTGTTTCAGAGGATTTCAATCATAAACTGAATATCATTCTATCCTCTGCCTAATTTGTCAATTCATACATAAGATTAAGGCTTACACTAAAATAAACCTGGTAGTGGCAATTAGTGCCTCAACAATGAAGTCTCATCTCCTGATTCTCAGAGAAAAGACCTCTCAATTATTGGCACTTACTTGGGCCTAGTGTTCCAAACTTCAGAGTTTCAAGTAATATCGATAATCCTTTCTGATCTGGATGCATCAAGTCCAATAATTACTCAAAGAACAAAAGGTTCAAGACATGGCTTAAGAACATTAAGTATTTAGAGAACTAGTAATACTAGGAATTACAGAGGAAAATAATAGAAAAGCAACATATCGATACATGAGAATAATGTGAAAAGCATGACATGTTTTAACTCAAAACTTTGATGAAAGGAGTGGGGGAAGCACATGGAAGCTTGCAATAAGAGCACAGGACAAAGGCAAAAGTTATCGAAGAGTAGTCAGAATTTGAGGGAAATTCAGAAGGAACTCTGATGGCTGTGGAACACGGACACATGTATCTATGTTTTTTGGTGCGTGTCAACACACCAAGGACATGACACCAGTGTCTAACGCTATCAGAACTTAAACATCTCTTTAATGTTAGCTCTTGTTGACATATAAATATAAACATACTTTAATGTCACCTAAATCCTATATCCACCCTATCTAAATGATGCATGACCTGTAATGTTTGAAAGCGCAATTCTGGAGTTGGCATTTTGGACACTCGCATCAGTGTCAAACATTGGCACACGCATCCATGCATTTGAAACAGAGCGTGATGGTAGCTATGTTGAATGATTATTCGAGGCAAAGTAAATCAATCCATTTCCAAATATAAACTGGTAAGATATATGTCACTGGATTTCCAAGGCATCATTTCTGGACCAAATCAATCAAGCAGAAACTGCATATGTTGGCGCCTAAACAAAATATCTGAATGTAGATCTCCATATAAAACAATTAACAAGATATGCAACTTGAAAATGAGACGCAACAAACCATTTTGCACCCTAATTTCTTTTTTCCTTGAAATCTTTTGCACCCAAATTTCTTCTTGTCAAAAAAAAAAAACTAAAAGCAACTAGAACAATTGATTTTCTTTTATTTACAAACCATATGGCCTTTAAATGGTTCTTTTTGTTCTTTTTATTTTTTGTTTTCGAGCTGTGATCTTTGAATGATTCTTGGGTAACCGAAATAAATTATGCCAAGCTCAAATATCAGTGTGCACCTACTCGAAACCACAATTTTCAACATGAACACCACCAATCCATGTCCTTTGAAGCATGAAAACAGAGAAGAAAAACAATAACAGTAATACGTTATAACATAAACCAAATAACATGCAAACACACTAACTGAAAAATTCAAACGAAAAAAAAAACAGTGGGATACATATAATCTAATCTAGGGCATATAGAGAACAGTTGCGCAGCCAAATCCAAGAAAACTTTAGGAAAAGAATATCTATATTCTTCAAAACCCAACTTTCTAGGATTTAAATAAGGGCATATACCAAATGAGCAAAGATAAATAAAATATAGAAAAGCCAAGTATCCAGAATTTCAACAGGAACATGCATCAATGTTGGTTTCAATTCAATAATCTATGGTTTCAATGTGAACATACTCACAAATTGGACCATATACAGGAGAGAGAGAGAGAGAGAGAGAGAGAGAGAGAGAGAGAGAGAGAGTAGTTTCGTTACTACCACAACAGAAGACAGACAATAGACGAGACGAAGAAGAGAATACAAAGTAAAAAACTAACCTAAACCTAAAACCCAACGTACGTACGTACCTACT